TGAGTCTCTTTCTTCCCTTTCTCCCCATCAGCAGGGAAGAACCCAAGAGAGTCCAGTTACCAGCCTTAAAAAAAAAAAAACCCACCAGGCACAGTGGCTAATGCCTGTAATCCTAGCACTTTGGGAGGCCAAGGCGGGAGAATCACTTGAGATCAGGAGTTCAAAACCAGCCTGTTCAACATAGTGAAACCCCATCTCTACTAAAAATACAAAAATTAACAGAGTGTGGTGGAGGGCACCTGTAATCCCAGCTACTCAGGAGCCTAAGGCAAAAGAATCGCTTGAGCCAGGGAGGCAAAAGTTGCAGTGAGCAGAGATCACACCATTGCATTCCAGCCTGGGCAACAGAGTGAGACTCTGTCTTTAAAAAATATGGATATGGATATATATATATATATATCTCCATGCTGAAGGACTCTCCACCTTTTAATATTCTCCATCCTTCTGCCCCTGGAGAGGATCCTACACTGCAGCAAGTAGGGAAAGAGGAAAGGTGATGCCACCCACAAGGAAATGAGAAAGTGGTAGCTGGGAAGGCTGGGATGGTCTAGGACCCTTTCACTAAATTCTAGTTCCCAACCTTCTTCCCTCACTGTCCCAGCACCCCAAGTGTTCCATAAAAGGTGAGCCTCAGGACCAGGACAGCTCTGGCTGGGGGAGCCAAGGAAGCTGCCCCCTACCCCACCACGCAGCAGAGGAAGGCTGCACACTGGCTTCCTCCTCCACGCCTAGCAGCAGCTCGGCAGTCCCTGGGCCCCACCAAAGGCCTGTGAAGTGGCACTTCCTCTGCCTTTGCAAATTTCACATGAAGTTGTACAGAAGTGCCATCCTCCCAATCCTGCCACCCCCCACCTGAAAATACCCAGAGGGATACAGAGCTGCCCAGTCTCTTTGGCCCCGCCCAAGGCCTAAGGGGGTTTCCACAAGGGAAAATAACATCAGGGAGGAAACTCCGGCATCTATTTTCCACTGTCAGTGAGGCAGAGCTGGAGCAGGAGACAGGGTACTCCCCCATCTTACTACCCCCAGCAAAATCCCCAACACTGTCTGACTTCTTATCTCTCAACCTCTAACAATCCTTCTGCTTGGAGAAAGAGCCACAGTCCTATCCCTGGACGGATACATAGAGACTACTGAGGCCTGTCAAATTGAGGCCAGTAAGACACGAGGGCCAGGGTGAGGGGCACTGCTATGAGGAATCTCTTAGGGGAGGAAGAGTCAGAGCCGGTATGTTCACTGTCTCTTTTGGAGGTACTGATATGCAACTCCTTAATGCTGAAATACAGCCAAGAGAAACCAAGCTGACCAGGATTATACAGAGTTGGTAGCAAATCTAGGACAAGGATCCTGGTCTTCTAACCTCCATCTTTACGAAAGTTCGAGAAAGTAAGGATTCTAACTCTGGCCTGAGAATGGACCAACCTTTGACCTCATTCAGGAAAACCCTACCACAGTTTATTCCTTCAGGAAATGGGCCAAAGGGGTTGAGTTGACTTACATCTGGGCCTTTTTTGCTTCCAAGTTCCCAAGCCCTCATGCCTAGCTTATCCTGGTGTATTCATGATTTAGCACTGACATTACTCAACAACCAGCCACTCTGGCAGTACCTTAGCTGAGAAGCTCCTCCCCTGGCCTCTAGCTCCTGAAGAGATGCCCTTCCCCCATATGAGATGAGGACAAAAGAGGAAGCTGGACCCTGGACAGGAAAACCAGTCTGATCTGGGGAGGTGGCCCAGGCTTTGTCTTTGGTTTCCCTCCTTAGCTCTTCTCACCGACCCCTACTGACCTCACAGCTACTGGGTCTACACTATATAGGAGGAGTCTTGGCCGGGTAGCTCACGCCTGTAATCCCAGCACTTTGGGAGGCCGAGGCAGGTGGATCACGAGGTCAGGAGGTCGAGACCATCCTGGCCAACATGGTGAAACCCCGTCTCTACTAAAAATACAAAAATTAGCTGGGTATGGTGAGTGTGTGCCTGTAATCCCATCTACTTGGAAGCTGAGGCAGGAGAATGAAACCCTGGAGGCGGAGGTTGCAGTGAGCCGAGATGGTGCCATTGCACTCTAGCCTGGGAAACAGAGCTAGACTCTGTCTCGGGGAGGCTGGGGGGAGTCTTCAGTGAGGGCCTGAGCCTCCTTCTTCACGTCACAATCTTGATCATACTTGTTTAGCCAACACCTCAGCAGCAGCTTCCTAGGTTTTAGGCTGCCACCTCCCTTCACTCCCCAATATTTTCCCAGTAAGATCTCTCCTGCCCTGATCACATTTTTTCCAATGATGCCTTTCTTGCAATTAGCTCAAACTTCCAATGGGGCCAGATCTCACTTGGGAGAATCCCTGTCTCACCCATCTTGTCTTTACCATCAGAGCCCTGTGGGTTTGCTCAGTTATGCAGAATATGGGTTTGCCAGCTGTGATGCTGGGAAAGTGCCTTGTATATACCTCCTTCCCTGAACTGGGCTTTTTATGTAGGTCCCTGGGATTTTTTTTCCTGGAGCCAAACTTCTGTACCTTCAAGAAATGGGAGGAAAGACAGGTGGGTGGAAGGGCAGGACTGAAAAAAGGAACAATTCAGGGGAGAGGGACGACTATGACATGGGAAGATGACAGAATGGGGAACGAGGAGAGCCCTTAAATTTAGCTGTATCACTTGCTCCCCTCTACTTCTCTTTTTTCCTTATTTTTGAGACAGAGTTTCACTCTTGTTGCCCAGGCTAGAGTGAAATGGTGCGATCTCAGCTCACTGCAACCTCCTCCTCCCAGGTTCATGAGATTCTCCTGCCTCAGCCTCCTGAGTAGCTGGAATTACAGGCATGTGCCACCACACCCGGCTAATTTTGTATTTTTAGTACAGACAGGATTTCTTCGTGTTGGTCAGGCTGGTCTCAAACTCCCAACCTCAGGTGATCCACATGCCACGGCCTTCCAAAGTGCTGGGATTACAGGCGTGAGCCCCCGTGCCAACCTACTTCTCTTTTTTTCTAGTAGAGAGAAATGAATACAGATGACTGGAGGAGGTAGAGAGAAGCAAGATCCTCAGCATGCACCCCAAAAGCTTGAGGAAGGAGCTTTAGAGTGGAAACAAGAGTTTCCATAGTCTGGATGGACTGAAAATAAATCTGGGAGGAATTCCTGAGAAGGAATAGGGTCCTAGGTGAGATGGGAATATTAAGGATGCCTAAAAGCAGAGGAATCAGTAGAACTCTAGAGGACTTCCTGGTCACTAAGGCCCTGATGCAGAGCAGGGCATGTGGGTACACAGCCTGGGCAGGCCCCAGAAGGCAGCAGGAAAGAAGGGGCAGGCACCTTTGCCTCACCTGCTTCTTAATTCAAAACTAAAACAGTTAACACTGAAGTTAGACCAGCTATAGTCTTCCCTCCAGAATCCTGCCTTTGCCTTCTCTCTTTATTTCCATCACACCCAGCTGGTCCCATTCTTTCCACCAGGTGAGGCTGGAACTAGTAGGTACTGGAATCAGGGAACTTCAGGCTATCTCCCAGGTTCCAGGCCTGTCCCTGTAGTCAAACACCAGGTGTCAGGGTGATTTTGATTTCCCATGGCCTCTCTTACCAGTCTTACTCCTCTGTCACCCTACTCTGACTGCTACAGACTGCTTCCTCCTGCCTAACCACAACCTCACTCACTGCAGGTTCCCTTCATTATGCTGGCTTCCCTTGCTCTGGGTCCTCTCAAGGCTGAGGGCAGTTATTTTGTCTCTAAGAGATAAAGATGTAGATACACACACACACACACACGTTTTCATCTCTATCACTCGAAGGCTGCAGACTGCCTCTCAAAGATAGGGAGGTTCAAAAAGACTCTCAAACTCACTAAGTCTTCTACAGCAGATCCTGATCTCGAAGCTGCAGCTAAGTGGGTGGGAAGGAAGGAGATGGACAGAGGGTGACAGGCTGAGGATTCAAGAGCAATGAGGGGTGATGGAAGAAGCAAGGGGGTGTATGTGTGTGGGCGCCAGAGCTGGGAAGGGAAGAGATGGGATGGGGCCAGCCGCAGAGGACCAAGATGAACACGGGGCAGGGTAGGTGAAGAGAGGTCAAGGCCTAGGTATGACTATGTTTGGTGGAAGAGACTGAAAGGAATGAGAAAAGAGTGATGGCGGATTTGTGGGTAGAAACTAAAGAAGGTGTGGAGGAAGACAATAGGAGCATGTGTATAATTTTGGGCCTAAGAATGAAGAGGAAAAATGGTTCTCAATTGTCCCCAAAAGCCACAACAAAAACTTGTCAGGGACTGTCAGTACCTCTGAATGAGAGTCCTTCCACCTCCAGTCACAGGGGAAAACGAGGTTTCTCCCAAAAGAGCAAGGCCAGGCTCTGGTCAGCTAGGAAGAGCAGATGTTTACTCACTAAATACCTACTGTTTGGCTCCAGGTGAGGCTGGGACTCAGGAAAACAGACATACAGAGAACGACTGGGGTCGGCGTGGCTCCCCCCACCCCAACCCCGGTCCTCCGGAGTGCAGAAGGCCTTCGGGCTGCAGCCCGAGTGTGGGTCTAGATTAGCATCGATCTTAACGGAGAGAGCTTCGGAGGCTCTCCGAAGAGACACCGCCCCTTCTTACCCCCACAAATGTCACAAATGCCGGAGCAGAGGGCGCGCCTTCTCCAGCCCAGAAGCCCTCTCCCCTCACGCACTGCTCAACACCCCTCCAACTTCTGAGGACACCCCACCTGAGTTCCATTTCCCAGCTCTGAGCTTTTCCACTTCAGAGACACTTCTCTCGGAACCCGGGACCCTCCGACCTCAGGGGTTCCTCTCGGCTCCCGAGAGGCGGCACTACCGCCGGGAACCCACCCTCGCCGAGCCTCCGCCGGCTCGCAGTGGCCCCGTCCCCGCCCCGCCCTACTTGGACTGAGCCGAGAAGCTCCCGCCCGCGGCCTCCGCCAACTAACTCATGGGCCGGCGCCCGCGCCGAGTCCTGGGCCGGCCAGGCTCCCCTCCCCCGGACCCCTGACCGCCAACCCCGGCCCGGCCTCACCTGGTGCCCTCCCCGAGGCGGGGGAGCTGGGGGCGGCGGCAGCGGCTCCGGGCTCGAGAAGGAAGTGAGAGCGGGAGGCCGGAGGAAGTGTGGCGGGGGGGGAGGGGGGGGCGGGCCGGCGGGGCGGGGGCGGGGCGGGGCGGGGCCCGACCAGGAAGTCCGAGGGCCGGTCTCCCCCTCTCCAGCCCCGTCCCGCCCCCAGCCTCGCCCCCGGCCCATTCCCGGGCTCGCCGCTTTCCCTCACACAGCCCACTGCCCCTATGGCCCGCAAGTCAGGTCTTCCAAGGTCAGGTCTCTCCGCCTCCTCCTGGCCACCCCACCCCAGCGGAGGCCCTACCCTAGGCGCTAGGCGTTGGTCCTCTTCCCCCCGTTCTGCCCCCACCAGCCTCCGCGGGAAGATGCTGAGAAAGGCGCCCTGGGCCCGGCGCCTTCAGCCAACCCCAAGGATCGAGTGGTGGCCGAGGCTGGGGCAGTCCCCACCCCTGCCCGAGCCCCGGGGGAGTGCGGGGTGGTGGTGATTCAGCAGTGGGAAGGCCCCAGACCCCTGGGGAGAGTGGGGAGACTCGGGGGTGGGGGGAGAGGAGCTGGCGTCAGCACCCAGGGGAAAGAAAAGATCAGTAGAGGCGCCGTCAGAGCCGCGGGCCCCCAAAACAGGATGTCTAGTCGTCGTTCGGCACCCAGCAGCTCCGCGTGGCCTGACTCTGAGGGGGGGCGGGGCGGACGGAGGACGTGGGGGCCCCCCTCGTCCCCGTTGTGCTGGGGTGCCCAGCTGCTTGGGGCTAAAGGGCTGCACCCAGGCCTGAGGTCCGGCTTGGGCCCTGGGGACCCGCGGGTGGGTGGGCTCGTGGGCGCCCTCTGGTGCTTCAGTTCCCAGGCCTTGCGCTTGGAGCTTTGACTTGGGAATACGCATCTTTACTTCACAAAGTTTCTAAGCGCCTACTACATGGAGAGCTCCGTGCTAGGTGCTGTTAAGAAAAACAGCGTTTAAGACAGGATCCCAGGCCGGGCGCGGTGGCTCACGCCTAATCCCAGCACTTTGAGAAGCTGAGGTGAGCGGGTCACCCGAGGTCGGGAGTTCAAGACCAGCCTGATCAACATGGAGAAACCCCATCTCTACTAAAAATACAAAATTAGCTGGGCATGGTGGCGAATGCCTGTAATCCCAGCTACTCAGGAGGCTGAGGCAGGAAAATCGCTTGAGCCCGGGAGGCGGAGGTTGCTGTGAGCCGAGATCCTGCTGTTGCACTCCAGCCTAGGCAACAAAAGCAAAACTCCATCTGAAAAAAAAAAAAAAAAAAAGGATCCCTGTCTTCCAGAGGCTTTTCAAATAAAAAGGATTGATTTCGGGAATAAATAATTTAACTTTTCTAAGCCTCTTTGGTAAAATAGAATCATTATATTTCACCCCATAGTTGTAAAGATAACATGAGAACAGGTGTAGAAGACCCAAGATGCTGGGATTACAGGCATGAAGCACTGCACCCGGCCTTTTTTTTTTTTTTTTTTTTGAGAAGGAGTCTTGCTCTGGTGCCCAGGCTGGAGTGCAGTGGCGCCATCTTGGCTCACTGCAACCTCAGCTTTCCAGGATCTCAGGTGATCCACCCGCCTCGGCCTTCTAAAGTGCTGGGATTACAAGCATGAGCCACTGTGCCCGGCCTACTTATATGTTTTAAAAAAGGAATTTAATATGAACCACATAAGTAATTTAAAACTGTCTAGCAATGACATTTCAAAAAAAGTAAAAAGAAGTGAAATTAATTTTAACTATATTTGGCTTAGTTCAACATAGCCAAAATACTATCTTTTACCATATAATCAATATAAAAATTATTGGTTATAAAAATTAACTGGAGGCTGAGTGTGATGGCTCACACCTGTAATTCCAGCACTTTGGGAGGCCAAGATAGGCAGGATCACAAGGTCAGGAGTTTAAGACCAGACTGACCAACATGGTGAAACCTCATCTCTACTAAAAATACAAAAAGTAGCCTGGCATGGTGGCACGTGCCTGTAATCCCAGCTAGTCGGGAGGCTGAGGCAGGAGAATCACTTGAGCCCAGGATGCGGTGGTTGCAGTGAGCTGAGACTGCACCACTGCACTCCAGCCTGGGTGACAGAGTGAGACTCTGTCTCAAAAAAAAAACCATAAAATAAAAATTAACTGGATATTTTACATTCTTTTCTGGTACCAAGTCTTTGAAATGTGGTGTATATTTTATACTTACAGTATGTCTCAATTTGGCTGGACACATTTCAAGTGGTCAATAGCATGCATAGCTGGTGGCTACTTGTATCACCCTCGAAAACAGAGGCTTTAATAGATTCAGGCTGGTGAATGATTGTGTGGATGAATTCCTTCTCCAAGATCCTTCTCTAGAAGCCTCCCCTGACCTCCCAGGCAGTGTTTGGGTCCCTTCCTCCTCTTGGTTTGGTCCCTGTAGCCCTTGAGACAACCTCCTTTCTGTGGAGAACATGAGAGCAGGAGGGACAAGGGGAAAATCTCATTTCCATCCATATTCCACTGGAACCACTTGACATTGGGGTGCTTGGCATTTCATGAATAAAGAAAGGATTGTGAGCTTCATAAATGACAGGATTCAGAGGAAGACGATACACTGAAGCAGCTTCTATGAAGCCATTAAAAATTATCTCCCAGAACAAAAGGTTTTTTTTGTTTGTTGTTGTTTTTTAGATGGGAATCTCACTATGTTGTCTAGGCTGTCCTGGAACTCCTAGGCTCAAGCCATCCTCTCACCTCAGCCTTTCAGGTAGCTAGGACTACAAGCACACACCACCACATCCAGCTCCAGAACAAATGTTTTCAATATGTGTTCCTAGAATTCCCTTCCCAGGATTTCAGGGCAGGAAAAATAGTAGAGCTGTGGACTCCATCCCCTTCAACCACAGAAAGTTTACTTTTTTTTTTTTTGAGACGGAGTCTCGCTCTTGTTACCCAGGCTGGAGGGCAATGGTGCAATCTCGGCTCACCGCAACCTCCGCCTCCTGGGTTCAGGCAATTCTCCTGCCTCAGCCTCCTGAGTAGCTGGGATTACAGGCACGCGCCACCGTGCCCAGCTAATTTTTTGTATCTTTAGTAGAGTTGGGGTTTCACCATGTTGACCAGGATGGTCTCCATCTCTTGACCTCGTGATCCACCCACCTCAGCCTCCCAAAGTGCTGGGATTACAGGCTTGAGCCACCGCGCCTGGCCTCGAAAGTTTACTTTTATCTGATTTATTTACTGGTATTCTGGATAAAGAGTTTAATTTTTTTTAAGTTTTCTACAAAAAATATTTGAAAATCAATTTAAGGGCATAGTGGTAAGAGTAGGGAACACATTAGGCACAGCAGATCAAAAGACTGGATTGGCAGCCTGGGATCAGACTGCATTTCCTGAGTCTCTAAGTGTCTTGGGCTTGCTTAGCCCTGGTTTAGGGAGAAATTGACCCAGCCTCAAGGATCTCATGGTCTGATGGAGTATAGGGCTTTGCATATGAAGCTATCAGAGGAGAAGGAAAGAGCTCAAGGCTGGGCTGTAGAAGACCTTGAAGTCTGGCCAGGGATGGTGGCTCATGTCTATAATCCCAGCACTTTGGGAAGCTGAGGGTGGATCATGAGGTCAGAAGACTAAGACCATCCTGGCCAACATGGTGAAACCCTGTCTCTACTAAAAATACAAGAATTAGCTAGGTGTGGTGGTGCGTGCCTGTAATCCCAGCTACTTGGGAGGCTGAGGCAGGAGAATCACATGAACCTGGGAGGCACAGGTTACAATGAGCCAAGACCATGCCACTGCACTCCAGCCTGTTGACAGAGCAAGACTTTGTCTAAAAAATAAATAAATAAATAAAGACCTTGAAGTCTGTCTTGGTTCAGCCAGACAGACTGAGATTTTAAGCTAGGCCCCACCCTTCTCTGCATCTCAAACTCTTCCACTGGAAAACAGAGGTTGAACTAGATGATATCTTTGAGTTCTGATCTTCTGTGATACACTCTTCAGAATAATAATTAAGGTTTATGCATACAGCATGTTGCTCATAGTTCTTTAATACCATTTAGGTCATCGTGCTTTGTGCTCTAGTAAATTGCATCTGTGCCTAATGTCTGTCTCCCCTACTGACTATAAGTCCTTTGAGGTTGTGTCTGATTCATTACTGTGTCCACCCTCTGGGCCTGGCAGAGGCAGGCCTGAGCACACATTTGCCTCCACTAAACATCCATAGAGTTAAATCGCTTTAATAAAGTACTAATATCTGTAGGACAATCAGACTCCAGATAACTTGGAAACATTTTTGTGGCACAGACATAGGAAGGGCCAGAGGAAAGGGAAGCAGGTGGACAGGTGGAGCTGTCTGTAAAGGCTTCTTGAAGGAGGAGGAATGCTTTCCCTGAATAGGTGAGTTCTTGGTAGGTGGTGTGCATGTATGCTTACAAGGACATTGAACCTGGACATTTAGTAGTGAGATAACATGAAAGCACTTCGTGGGGCAGAATAGAGATCACAGACAGGTTTTGGAGACAGACAGACCAGGATAGTTGTAACATAGTATGGCCTTTGATTAGTCACAAGAGATCTCCCATATGCATAAATACTCAATGTATATTTATTGAAAAATCTTCTTGGTGCCAGACATAGTATTACATGCCAGTGATGAAGTATAGAAAGCTGCCCTGATGTAACTAGCAAGGGAGATAGACCTTAAACAGGTAATCATACAAAAGTATAGAGTACTGCTGGGCATGGTGGTATTTGTCTCCAGTTCTAGTCACTCAGGGGGATAAGGCAGGAAGACTGCTTGAGCCCAAGAATTTCAGACCACCTTGGGCAACATAACAAGATACTTTCTCCAGAAAATAAGGTACGGAGTGCTATAAGAGCATGTAACAGAGCCAACTTTTCAGTCCTAGTTTCATTTTAAAATGGGAATGGCTGGGCATGGTGGCTCATGGCTGTATTCCTAGCACTTTGGGAGGCCAAGGTGGGACAATCACTTGAGCCCAGGCAATTATAGCAACACCCCATCTCCACACACACAAACACAAATTAGCTGGGCATGGCGGCACATGCCTGTAGTCTCAGCTACC